CGCCAGCGCCCGACCCCCGCGGGGCTGGGAGCCCACCTGCCGCCTGGCGCAGGCCCAGGCTGCCTCACCTGGTGGAAGCCCAGGTGGTCCAGGATGGTCGCCGACGCATAAAATATCATTCCTTCTGCACTCACGACCAGGGCGAAGCCACTGAGGGACTAGGAGAGAAGGAGAGGCGAGGCGCTGTGAAACGGCAGGCAGCCCTCCCCTGGCCCCAGCCTCTGCCGAACCGGCACCCCCGGCGCCGCTTTCCCAGCTAGTCGGGGTGCGGGTGCCGCCGGGGGCCGGGCCGTGCCTTCTCCTGCGTGCGAAGGTTGTCTTACGGACAGGGACGAGCGCCGGGCGTCCTGGCCACTTCCAGGTCTCGGGGGAGGACCCACAGACCTGTGCCAGCTCTCGGCGTGGACTGCCGCGCCAGGCTGAGCCCCGGAAGCGGCCCCCCACTTCCCGCAGCGCGCGGGTCCTGGCCCTCGGTCAGTCACGCCTGTCCCTGGAAACATGCGGCCGGGCCCCGCCGCGCCCTCCTCCCCACAGGCTGCTGGTGGCCGCCTGGCCTGGCGAGGCAGGGCTGGCGCGGGCTGCCCGAGCTGCTGTGGGGCGTTTCCAAGCGGTCAAGCCTCTTGCTCAGTCACGGCGCGTTCGAGGGGCCCCCGGGGACACCCCGCCCCGCCGGGGCGCCTCCTGTGGCTGGAGGGCGTGTGCCGGGCGCTTGAGCGTGCTGGCCTGGCAGCTCTAGGCGGCCTCCAGAGCCGTCTGGCCGCCCAGCGCCGGGCCCCTCCCGCCCTGACATCACGGTCCCCAGCAGCCGCACCCGCTGGACACCAGCCCCCGGCAGCACAGAGCCGCGGGGTGCTCAGAGGCACAGCATACGGGTTCTCTCCACTCTCCCCAGCCCGCACTTTCAGTTTGATAAGTGATAAGGTACAGCTGTGTCAGCTTTCACTTGGCGGGTGGCTGCCCCGCGTCTCTGCGGCCTCCCCGCCAGGGCCAGCGGCTGCCCATCGCTCGGAGGCTCGCAGTGCTGGGTCCCTGCGGGCCGCAGGGCGCGTCCACCCCACCTCCAGCCTCCGAGCAGACGTCGGACGAGGGCAGCACAGGCACAGGCCGCCGCGTGTCCACCCGCCGGAGGCAGGAGGTGACGCCTCGAGGACCCGGGACAGAGCTGGGCCGGGAGTCGGGGGACACGTGGCGGGAATTCTCTGACGTGGTCAGATCATAAAGATCACCCATGGTCAGACCTTGATTCTTTGAAAAGATGAATAAAAGCGACCACCCTCTAGCAGCGGTCACGAATAACACAAACACTGACAACAGGAACCACAACAAGGCTCCCACAGCCCCGAGCGAAGAGGGAGTCGCAGGAGATGGGCCGTCGCATCACCCACAGGACGCGGACAAGCCCTGAAAACAAAGCTGCAAGGACATCAGAACTCGAAACCAACTAGCCCTGTGTCTGATAAACGAAATGTGTGATCAGACCTTCCCACAAAGAAAACCCTAGGCCGGACCACAAGCGCCAAGTCCTGGGATGTCAGCCTGACAAAAGAGACTTACACAACTGCAAGAAGGTGGGCGGCACAGAGAAGCAGCCTGGACCGCGCCCAGGGCCAGGGCCGGGCAGTGGGGCCCAGCCAGGAGGCCACGGGGTCCTCACTCCGGGACGGCGAGGGGGAGCTGGGGCCAGCCCTGGAAGGTGTGGTCGGGGCCTCCCTGGTTGTGGCCACGGCCCCACGGTGCTGTCGGGAGCCCGGACACGGGGGTCCCCCGCCCATGGGGGCAGTGGGTGTGTGAAACTCAGGCCATCGGCCACGCCCGGGCCATGCTGGGCCACAGGCCATGCCCGGGCCACGCCCTCAAGGCCCCCCACCAGCCACATCCCAGTGTGGCATAGGGACAGACCCAGGAACAGAGGCGGTCAGGGAGTCACCTCAACTACCCGGACCCGGGGCCTCTGCCTAGGGGCTCAGTCTGCCGCTCAGCGGCCCGGCCCTGGGGAGCTGGCCAGCGCCCGCCTGGTGCTGGCCTTTTTGGCTCAGGGCAGCGGCCAGGCCCCCGGGACAGAGCCTCTCCTTCCTCCCTTCCAGGCTGTGCCTCTGCAGGCGCAGCCAGAGGAGGGTCCCGGGCCGGCTCCCTCCCCACGCCCCTGCAGGCCCACGCCCTCTGTGTTCACCTCCTCTGAGGCCCCCAGGGGTCGGTGTCAGAGCTGCCCAGCCGCCGCTTCCTCCTTCCGCCAGGCCGGCTCAGAGCGGCGGGAGCTCGCCCGTCCAGCAGTGGCCTCGCGCCGAGGCTGGCCTGAGGGGGGCGGCACAGACTCGGGCCGGCCCTGCTCTCTCCTCCAGGTGTTTTCAGGGCTGCTGGGCACGCCCTGGCCCCCGGGCGCCCTGACCGTGCTGGGCGGCGGTGTGGGCCGATCACCGGGCAGGTGGCTCGGAAGGCCC